CATCATTTTGACATGAGTATGGATAATCAGCTATTTGTCGTTCGGCAGATATAAGGATGATAATATATGACCTTGAAAATTTTAAATATCCGTATCTCGCAAACTATTCGACCGATGTCGTTGCGATTACCATTTGACCTTGACCTATACATGACATCATTTTGACATGAGTATGGATAATCAGCTATTTGTCGTTCGGCAGATATAAGCATGATAATATAAGACCTTGAGAAATTACTTTGACCATTTTATCGTGACTTTCATATGACCTTAACCTATACGTGAGTTCACTTTGACCTGAGTATGGTCAAACAGGTATTCACCGTTTGGTAGAAAAAAGTGTTAAAAATATGACCTTGAGAATTTCAATTATCAATATCTGGGAAACTAAGGGGCCGATATTGTTCTGACTAACATATGACCTTTTCCTTTACCTGACCTCATTCTGACGTGAGTATGGTTAACCAGGTATTCACCGATTGGCGGTAAATAAGCGTGAAACATATGATCTTGAGAATTTCAAAGACCTCTCTCTGGCACATAACCTAATCTAATCCAACACACTGATCAGACATGACCTAATCTAAACTAATCTAAAACAATCCAACAACCCAAATCACCGTAACATAAAGTGACACTAAAACAATCCAACAACCCAAATCACCGTAACATAAAGTGACACGACACTGCCTAACAACCTAACCTAACCCAACCTAACCTAACCCAACCTAACGTAATCTAACCCAACTCAATAAAGGCACTCAGTATATATTGTGACCTATACATGACTTTGACACATCCATGACCTCTAAATGTTGTCTGCAATGGCACTCAGATCCGTACAGTTCTCTATGTATATGCGTGAGAAAATATTATTACGCATGACATTGAAAAAGTTTGACGCCTATTATTCTCAAACAGTTTGTGTGATCTTATCGTGGCCTTGCCATGTCCTTGACCCATCCGTGACCTCATTTTAACATGAGTAGTCAACCGGGTATTTACGGTTTGGGTTACAAACGCGTAAAACGATATGATCTTGAGAATATTAAAGACCCGTATCTGGCAAACTATTGGGCCGATCTTGTTCTGACTTCCATATGACGTTCACCTATACGTGCCTTTATTTTGACACGAGTATTGTATTCACCGTTTAGCAGAAATAAGTGTTTAAAGATATGACATTGAGAATGCTGGACCCTAACAAAACTACAAAAGCAACGAATAGAAGTAGCAGAGATGAAATTTTTAAGATTAACTGCAGGATATAAAAGAATAGATCATATAAGAAATGAAGATATTAGACGCGAACTAGGAACTTTTAACTTGCTGGATAAAATATGCGAACATCAAAGGAATTGGCTAATGCTAATAGAGAGAATGGAAGCCAATAGAATTCCACAAAAAATGTTTAAATACACACCTAAAGACAAACGAGGCACAGGCCGCCCACAAAAACGTTGGAATGACCAATTTTAACTGCACAGTACTGTACCCTATTTACTCGAACAGAAAATTCCTTGGAGACGGAACAGTCTATAATAGGCTAAACCATGGGGATGATGATGATTAACAGCCCGATAAATTTCAACACTAGTGGGTTATTTTCAGGGGCTTATCTGGATTAAAACACAAGATTGGAAAGGTGAAATGTCTGGAGTAGAGTGACATTCCAAAAGTGTTCTTCATGCAGTATCACATAGGTAATGGTTTCACTAATGTGATCTGAGGCCAGTGCTGCGTCTTGAGTCGTTTTTGCACAAAGTCATTTTAATGTAGTTGCTGCGTAACAACTGGACCTCCGGTTTCATTGTTGCGGAAAACAAGTCAGACAGACAGACAAGACATGGGTGGGCCCATAATGTGTTCCTCGCTTAGGCTAGGGTGGGTGTGAAGAATGGTCCATAATGTTGCCTATTTTTCAACCAAAAGATGAGTCTGAAGATAACCCAGAATAATTTAATCGTGTTGTTATATTATTAAAACATGTCTTGTTTATTATACGTAAACTGTACTTTGTACAGGGCCTATGCACAGACGGGCCTAGAAGTTTCAAGTTGGCAAGGACACACATCCTTCCAAATTCTTCAGCATTCATCCATCAATCATGATCACATTCCCATGTCTCGTACAATGCTATGTTAACTGTACAGCTGAAACAGTGTCCACAATAAAATAAGAATGAATCAACAAGTCTGTTCCAACATATTTTCATGGCAAAACACAAAGCTGGTGTAACTTACCGCCGCCATTCTGGTAGGCGAGGTAAGGGAATCGCCATACGTTGCCTATGCCGACGGAAAGTCCGACGCAGGAGAGCAGGAACTCCCAGCGGGAACCCCAGTTGCCGCGCTCAGCCACCGAGGCCAGCGAGGGCCGACGGATGGCAGCGTCTATCCCACGGTCCAGCACTGATTCGCGGCGCGCCACGATGTGGGCCGAGAAACGGCGCGTTGGGCGATCGCCCGGGCGGTGGCGTTCTCGCTCCCTCAGGGAGCCTCCCCTGGGAGGGGTCATGGGGTTTCCTGCAAAAAGAGTTGATCCTAAATTTTTGCTGAGAAATGTATTTCGACGGCAGTACGAAGGTAAACACTTGTCTATTTATTGTTTATTTAACGACTTTCTCAGGAGCCAAGTCAAGAAGGATGGAAACGCATAATGTGGACCTTCATCATCTGTACTCTTCGCCAAATATTATTCATTATGTTAACTCAAGAAGGGTGAGGACACACATAAAAAGGTAGTTACAAATTTAAGACACTGGTTGATAAAGCTTATGGGGATACACTTCTTAGATACTTATCCATACTGTAGATGGGATAATAATATTAAAATGGATCTTAGAAAAACATGGTGTGAAGGCGGAAGCTAGATTGAACTGGCTGGAATATGGACCAATGGCAGGCCTTCGTGAAGAAAGTGACAAACCTGTGGGATGCAGCCCATCAAAAATTAGCTGCTCAAGAAGATACTCTACGATGCAGTAAGTAATTCTTAGAACGTTCAAAGCGAGTGCAGGAGTTGGATAGACAAATATCCCGCGTTAGCCAACATTCTTTCTCGCATGTAACGGGGTGTAACAAGTTAAAATGACACAGGTGTTCATTTTAAATGCCTTGCTCTAAAGTTTATATAAACGGGATGCCGAGTGAGAACTGCAGGAGGAAATTATTGAGAAAAAATAAAAAGTAACAAGAAATTCAGAGAAAAAGAAACAAAGGGAAGAAGGAAGAAAAATTAATTAACTGAACATAGGAAGGCAGTAATAATGTACACAAAATAATTGTAATTGGAAAGGATAGTAATACAAGACTGTCATCTTCATTAAAGTTACATTCAGAACCGAGTCATGCTTATAAGCATCAAACGGATTTTAAAGTAAAAGTGTTATGTAAGACATGTACGAGTGAGTGTCAGCCCCTGTTCCCTGCTTTACTACTTAAATTAAAAAGTCCAATGTAACAATTGCAGTAACTGAATTATTCTCATCACACTTCAGAAAATATCACAAAAAGTGAGCTACACGCCTCAATGCAGAGAAGGAGAAGTTGCCGCACTAGCAAGGCGTACTGTACTCGGAAAGAAATCAATGCCACGACCCTGTTCTTGTTGAGCCTCTACTACAAGAATGTTTAACCATGCAATTTATGCTTAAAGACACATTCTTCTGTTAAACGTCATAACTAGTTAAAGTTACATGATGAGATAAGGCGGAAGACGTTTCTTTCAATAATTCTCTCAAGAGGAAAATTAACTCGGTTTCTAAAGCAAAGTGGCTCTTAACGAGATATATTCGTACATAACATAGAAACTGTTAATATATATGATACAATATGTTCATCAATTAAAACACTAGAAAGACCAGTGCTGCAACATGGGCGGAAAATGTAGCGCTGCTGTCATATCTTCATTTTCGCATCAGAAAGCGATGCCTGCGGTCGCAAGCTCAAACGGTCAGTTCACACCAGCGAACAGCCAAGAACGTCATTACAGTTTAACAGAACCCGCAAGCAAAACAATCGGCAAATTCCTGGCCAACTCTCGGCTGTCGGCCAATGCCGTTTCGAGGTTGACGGCGCTGGGCGCTGATACGAAACATAATCAAATCCCGGCGGAAATGTAAAACTAATTAACTGCTGTCGCGCTCTGAAGACCCAACGCCATTGCTTGTATGAGGAAGGAATGTATGTACCGGCTTCATGAACTGCATAATGATTTGTTGTCAGGGGACGAAAACTGATGACAAGCTGCACAAAGAGTCCCCTCCCCTGCCCTCTCTCGCCCCTAAAGAGCCCAAGTACGAACGGAAACAGACACTACTGATCTCAAGGAAATGGGCAATCTCTGCTCAGATATGTACGTAGTGAGCCCGAAAGTACACCTAGCAAAATACAGTCTTAGTAATTGTTAACGCAGGTAGTACATTAGGTGCCACTTTAAGAAGTCCCTTAACATCTCCACAACCTCTTAAGCCTAATTTAAACAATTGTATTCCCATCTCTGAACCTCAAGTAGTCTTTCTATAAAGAAATATTCCCACAAAACATGTGTGCCACTTTCTGTTTCCCCACTCCATTCGTCTTACAATTTCAAGTCGCCTCACCATCCTCCACTTCGGTATCCCAATATTAAAAACAAAATATTAAAATATCCGTTACATAATATATTCAGTTAGCAACTCATTTTACTTCCCTGCATTTTTCATTTCTAAAGACTTCCCACTTAAATTCTTCAGTTTGTTACGAAGTTCTTTAACGAAGTTATTTCTATTGCAAAGTTTGCAGTCTTGAATAATAAGATGAAATAATTATCATGGATGGTGATACAAGGCAATGATCTGGTAGGGGACAGTCGTAGCGTATTTCGAAGTACTATACCGACATTAGCCTGGAGATACTGAGGAAAGCCACGGATAAATCGTCCAGTATAGCCAATAATCTGGACAAGATTCTAACAGAGCATCTCCGGTATATAAGTCTACGGCATCGCGTTTCAATTTGTGGTCTTCCTCAGAATAAGAAATAATGTCGTTGTTTACACATCTTAAACTTTAATGTTAAACTAACAAACTGAGCATTTCACGGCGGATAATGATAGTCCTTGAAACAAGACAAGGCTCTGAGTGGAGCCAGACTGCTAGGATTATTTCTACGTCA